GCCACCTAGACACACATATATCATTGAGTAATTAACAGAAATTATTTCCACCCTACAAGTGTCATATGGTATGGAGAAAAGGAAAACATGAAAAAATTGTGAACCAAAGGGGTCCACTGGTTCACAAATAAAAGCTTTAAGACTTTTACAAAAGAAGTTGAAAAATCAATTATGTAATTTCTTTTAAATAATACTGCTATGAATTTTTTCTTTCTGTTTTGGATTAAATGCTATGATTTATTTCCATAAGAAATTTATGTTTAATTATGTATAGTAGTTTATGTTTTGGAATAAAATGACAAAAATGATATTATTTCTCATTCTGATTTTATTTATAAAAATAATTTAACTTTTAGATTTATTAAATAAAATCAAAAGGAGTATAACTTTGACCGACACTAAATTTTTGTTCCATATTATGAACTAATTTGAGATGATCAAACCATTGCATCTAACACATGTCACGTTAGCAAATTCTTGTATGGCAATATTTCCTTAACCGCAACAATTTATGCAACCATACTTGATTCCATCCTCTTTACGACATTTTAGCACTTTGTTTTGCATATTTGTTATGTTAGATAAGCTATTTTGAGAATGTTGGGTTATCTAGGAGTATAACATCTTTCTTCGTGACTCTCATCTCTAAGTTTGATTCTTCTTTGTTGTTTGAGGATTTTAGGCATATCTCTCTCCTCGGACTATTCTATAAACTAATGACTAATGTGCTGGCAACTAGGTTAGCATTGGTCATAAGATCCCCTGACCAATATACTTTGAGAAGACTCATGATTATATGAGTTAGTCATTCATTTATTATTTGATGTATAAGGTTCAAGTTTGATGGCCGATGGTAAGCATGAATTAGAGCTTATGTCTTCTTGGATAGTCTTTCAGTCATAGTTAATAAGAGAGTCCGATTGAGGAGATTAACATTCATCGAGGACTTATACGGGAGACTCCGTAGCACCATTCTTATTTATCTTAGTTATGGAGGGTCTTAGTCCTTGAAATCCTGCTACAGTGACTACAATTATCCCAATAGATACACACAAATAAGTTAATCCAATCAGACCCATATACAACAAGCGCTTATTGAATTTGAACAAGTGTCCAAACACCTCTAATATTATGAGACAGTCAAATGATTATGAAACATGACTAAGAGTTAACTCACCTGGTCAAGAGACGGAGAATAGATGTATTGATAGATCTCGGGCAGAGCTTCAAATGCACTGTTCTCTTTATGCTCATTATCTGGATCAGACAGAGCAGCATCCAATAAAGAATCAAGGAAATTAACAAGCTCGGAGATGGTGTTTTGATACTCACTGGAATCTCCAACTACCAAGCATATAAAAAACCATCACTGTCAACAGCAAGTTAATAACCTTTCAATTACCTAACAAGACAATCAATCATCCAGTTTTATCCTTTCAACTTTTTCTCTTGCTACATAGCACAATAATGTCCTATATGAATTAACTTATTTGAGCTTATCTAGCAATAGAAGCACTTATAAAACCAAAAAAAGAGTCAAGATTAGTAACTCGAGAAAAATAGGTTACATAACTACATGTTTTGAATCAACTAAAAACAGAATAACCTTTTCCCGGCGATAGGTTATGAAGCAAGCTTAGCAGCTTTTCCTGGTTCTTCCCGAGAATATTTCTCACGTCTCGGGGCTTATTAGGATTAGCGACCAAAATCTGGATAAACATGTAATAAAAATAATTAAAACAAAGATCCAAATGTACGTGTTAATTGATTAACTTGAAAACATGAAGCGGGAAAATCACCTTGAAAATGTGAAAAGCCGATAACTGAAAGTTTTTACTTGAATTCTGCTCAACCATGTAAGTATATTCATTAATCGCATGGAAAAACAAGAATATCGCACAATGACACAGGATTAAGAGGAGTTATACCGTCAACAATGTCATCATGACTTTCAAATAGCAAACTTCTAAGATGTAACGCTTCATTATCTGAGCATTGGGCGATTCCAAAAGAAAATCCGAGAGAAGCTAAAATCCAAGTAAATTTAATTGTTAAAATCAAAGATATGATCAGAAAGCAAAGATATGATCCGAGAGAAGCTAAAATCAAAGATAAATTTAATTGTTGATCCAGTATATGAACTTGACTACTAAACTTTAGATCTCTTTGTCTAGCATGAATCTTTTGAATAGTAATGTTACTAAATCTTCCTTCCTATAGCAAAGATATATGTGAATTAAGAACACGAACTAATGGATTATGGCGCTAAGCTAAAAGCTAATTCTAGATACCACACTAGAATCCTATGAAATTTCAAAATAAAAATCATGAAGATGGTAGAACTTGAACACATTAAGTAAAATACTTTTTATTTTTGCAATTGTTTAGAAGATATGTCCAATATTTGATCATTCAATGCATATAACTCTATAAAGTCATAATAGAAGCCAATGGTTTTCCAAAAGCTTATTATCTTGTTAAAAAAGAAAAATAATAAAAATGGTAGGTATAACATACCAGGTAAGAGATGGATAAGAACACTGACGATTTTGTCAACAGAACTGAACACCAAACTGCAATGCCAAAAAATCAAAGCCCATGCTAAAGGCCCCTGCAACAGAAGCACTTAAATAAGACGCAAAACCGACCGATGAACCGCTCGTCTTCTAAGATGTCAAATTACCGTAAAACACTCACCTCAGCAAATGAGAAGCAAACCAGAAAATGCTTTTCATTCTTTTGATAAAACAGAAGGTAAATCAAGAAAATTGTATTCGCATAGTAGCAAAAATCCTGAAACACATGAACAATACTTTAGAAACCTTATTCTTATTAGTTATTTTTCTACAGAAGAAACTGAAATAAACTATTAACTTTATCCTTATGATAATGATAATGACAACTACAAGACATCACTCCAATGATTTTGATCAGCAATGGATTGAAACACAGTTTAAAATTAAATAAACAAGCATTCTTCCAATGACTTCGCAGCCATGTGCCTCTGACAACATTTTACCTAAAAAATACACTTCCTGGCAGTACAGTTAACATCGAGAAGCCTAGGATCTCTCAAGAATAACTTCCAATTTCTAGTCTGCCCAATCCCCTCCATAATCCTTCTTTTTATTCAACTACTGTCGATCTCTCTTTCCTCGCCCATACCCCACTTAGCCCACTCAACAGGTAATTTTATAAGTGGAATTGTTTCTGTTTCCCCCCTCTTCTTTTCACTCAGGTACAAGATTATGAGGGTTGTTTTCTTTAGCAATAACAAACTTCGTAATTGAGTTTCACTATGCTTAGGATGAAAACTATACATAAGAAGCTTTTCAATTGTTTTCATATATAAACCTTTAGAATGTCAGAGTAAGTACAAGATTGGCTTGTTTAGCATAAAAAATTTGCAAGTAAAATATGACAAACTAAAGTGAAAAATAACTTAGGAGCTATGCAAACACACATCAAAGTTAACCAAATTAAATTTCAAAGTTAATTTCAACACAATATAACAGTCTTAATTTATTAATATGTTTCCTCTTACCTGGACCAACTTCTACATCTATAGCATGATTATGTTTATAGGCGTCGTGAAAATCTATCTTGACGCTTTTTCGGCTTGATGACATATTATTCGAGGGCACACCAACTGTTGTTTTGTTGGATTTCAAGTGTGATGAATCCCTAACACCTCTTTCATTTACTCGACTCACTTCCGAGAAGTCTATTTGAAACTTGTTAGGATTGATTCTCAATACCTCAAAAACTTTATTAGCTAACTCACTTATAGCTCGAGCCTACAAATTGAAATAATACATACATAAATAGTTTATAAAAAAATAAATATTTGATAATGAAATTTGGTGTCATGTTGTTCACAAGCGTTCCATGTCATACCTGTATATGGTATTAGAAGAATTAAATTTCATTGCATTGTTGAATATCAAGAATACATCATGCTGCATAATAGTTCAAATACCAAGTATTAGATGACAAAAATTAAAGCATAATAACACTTTAAGCATACACATGTTAGGATTACTACTAAAAGTAGTAATATATTAAAAAAGGAGACAATCATTCATGAAAAATCAAGGTTGTAAACCTCAAATTGTTCTAAAGTCTTATACATTAGTTTAGCTCTCATTGTGCCAAAATCCATAGGTTCCTGGATGATTGAATAGTAATCCTTAACCTTTCCATAAAAATCTACCACAAGTGAGTTATAAGAAAATTTTCATAAAATATCTATAACATATTATGAGTAATTAAGACCACTGACCTCATTTGGATCGACTGGTTCAGCAAATATTTCGTAGATGTCTCTCCTATTTTATGAGTTTCAAATTTAATCAATCATAGTAAAAAATTTATTGATTATTACAAGTAATTGAGATGGTGTGCATTTCCTGAAAACCAAAAAGAGTTAAGATTAGTAACTCAGGTACACCCTCTCATAACGCGGTGTGCATCTCCTCTAATTAAGATGGTGTGCATCTCCTGAAAACCAAAAAGAGTTAAGATTAGTAACTCGAGAAAAATAGGTTACATAACTACATGTTTTGAATCAACTAAAAACAGAATAACCTTTTCCCAGCGATAGGTTATGAAGCAAGCCTAGCAGCTTCTCCTGGTTCTTCCCAAGAATATTTCTCACATCTTGAGGCTTATTAGGATTAGCGACAAAAATCTGGATAAACATGTAACAAAAATAATTAAAACAAAGATCCAAAATGTACACGTGTGGATCAATTTACTTGAAAACATGAAGCGGGAAAATCACCTTGAAAATGTGAAAAGCCGGTAACTGAATGTTTCTGCTAATGATTGTAATCAGATTGTGAAAATGCATCAGATCCCTGTAAAAAAAATTTCGGTTTGAATTAGGTGGCTGCATATCCATGAATATTAAGAGCATAATCATTTTGAAGAGTGAAATGAAAGCCAAAAGCAGCTGTGATTATCTTACTTTTCGAACAGCTGTTATGAAAACGCCTTTGCTAACTAATGTGTCCTCGGATATTTGCAAAAGCAGCCATGGTTAACCACGGAAGAACACATAAGAGCCCAGATTCTGTGAGGTTGAACTTCAGAACCTGAGATAACAATGCATTATCTTGTTGATTCAATGGACTAAAGGGAAATTCTGATCCAACTATAGAAAGTTATGTAAAAAATGTATTCTACGAAGCGTTCAAGTTTACTATAAAAATTTGTATTAAAAATATTAATAAGTAATAACCTGATTGTAGTAAGTAGGCATCCATGTCAATTGAATAAATGCCCACCAATTGTGACAGAAATGAGAGATAAGAGCCCAAACTGACGCTTTTGATAGAATTAATTTCCAAGGAATATCTGAAACAGGCGCTTTTGATACGCCGCCTTCTAGTATTATCCTTTTTTCCTCTGTCCCGAGATCCGGGTCATCCTTCGGTGAGCTATATGCCTGGATAGGAAACGAGTTTACTTGCAGACTTATGAAATTGAAGTCAATAAACCGGATCCGGCTCTCTACAATAAATAATTCCTTGCATTCACGCAATTTTGACCATCGGTGGATTCAAGCTCGGTTAAGATCTGTGTTTTTTTAGACTGTCATATCTTGATCAGGCTACCGATGTCCCAAATTCGTGAATGTGGGATCCTCTAAGAACGGGGAATCTGAATTCCAATAAATGAGCCTAAAGTGTTGACTATCATGAAAAGATAATATTAGATACATAAAGTAGAATACATCAAAATTAAGGGAAAGTTGACTTACTTTTTGCAACCAAAAAGCAAACAAAATACTTCCAAGGGATCCAAACGAGTAAAACACTGTTGAATAGAACATACATGATTCTGTGAGATTGAAAGAAAGAGCATCAACAACTTCCTGTCAAATCACCAAATAATCAATTAGGCACTCTTATTTTCTCTTTCTCACTCCCTTGAATAGAACAAACATGATTCTGTGAGATTGAAAGAAGTCATGCTCTGAATAATAATGATGTGTCTCTGTGTTGTTTGGTTTCTATATTCTAAGACTATAGGGGCGTTTGAAATAATTTTATTTGGGCTAATGTCACAGACACTTGAGTAGGTAATCAAAAGAGTTGATAAAAAATAGTTTATGACAAGCAAAGAAACTGCTTTCAGCGAATTTTCATAATCTGTCTTGGAAAGCTTACCGAAATAAGTTGAAAACAGCTTATTGACAGAAAAATAGGTTACATAACTACATGTTTTGAATCAACTAAAAACAGAATAACCTTTTCCCGGCGATAGGTTATGAAGCAAGCTTAGCAGCTTTTCCTGGTTCTTCCCGAGAATATTTCTCACGTCTCAGGGCTTATTAGGATTAGCGACCAAAATCTGGATAAACATGTAATAAAAATAATTAAAACAAAGATCCAAATGTACGTGTTAATTGATTAACTTGAAAACATGAAGCGGGAAAATCACCTTGAAAATGTGAAAAGCCGATAACTGAAAGTTTTTACTTGAATCCTGCTCAACCATGTAAGCATATTCATTAATCGCATGGAAAAACAAGAATATCGCACAATGACACAGGATTAAGAGGAGTTATACCGTCAACAATGTCCTCATGACTTTCAAATAGCGAACTTCTAAGATGTAGCGCTTCATTATCTGAGGATTGGGCGATTCCAAAAGAAAACCCGAGAGAAGCTAAAATCCAAGTAAATTTAATTGTTAAAATCAAGAGCATAAGCTCTAATTCATGCCTCGATGTGACGTAACTTTTAGCAAATATTACAAAAATGCACTCACCGTCTTCCCAGAAGTGCAAAGGACTTTGATTTGTTCTCCATTAATCTCCAAGACTTCACCATCTATCCAAGCTACATCAGAATCCTCCAACCAAACATGGGCCCCAACTATAAGATTGGCAGAAGCAGCAGCCTACAATCCGAAATTTATGCACAATCAAGCAACTTGGGGGAAGCTCATTAAAACACCGGAAAATGGAAGGGTCAACTTCGGACCAAATTAAAGAACAGAGAAAAAAAAAGTTGTCTACACTTGAGCCATTGAAAAATTAAATCAAACAACATCATAATGGCGGTAAAATTATGAAGTTATGATCAGTAATGTCAATCCAACATGATCAGATTTCAAAACCAGTCTAATAGATTTGAATAACCAATTGAAAACAGAAGATTCATAAGACAGATAATATTATTCACAAAATTCAAAGTGAAATACCTGCATAACAATATAAACTATTGTTAAAATGAAAATAACTACAAGAAGTAAATAGCATCATATCAAAAGTTCTGGAAAAATGTGGTTACAATCTAGTTACTTGACAATACTACAATTACAGGTGAAAGTTTAATTAATTAGTTACTAAAATATATGAATACATATTATATTAAGTTGATCTCATCAGTTTTTAAATTTTCAAACTGCTTTATTAGCAAACTCTGGACTTGATCAAGTTTATATGAGCAAACTGCTTTATGAGTAAGTGTATATATTATTTGTGCTAACTGCTTTATGAGCAAACTGCTTTATGAATACAACAAATCACTTAAACATTAATTTATGCTAAACATAAGAGTGTCAGTTTTATGCTAAAGCATAAAGCATACTCTCATGTTTGGGGTGATATAAGATACATGTTAGGTTCTTCTAAATTCTCGTAGCACATGAAAGGTGCAGAGATATAATGCAAAAGTGAAATCACTATACTGTATTTTTAAGGGAAGAGGGGACAATTTTTATTGCATATGCATATGGGATGAATTAAAGAGAGGCTAATCTACAAATACTACCTATTGTTATAAATATTTGCATCATGCAACAGAGAATCAAAGACAAACAAATTTGTGTATGTTTCCACTAGGCAACAAAGAACTCAGAAATACTAAAAGTAACAAATGAAGTTGATTCAAGCTAAGAATGCAGATGTAGGATAAAGTACCTCACTACTGTTTAAGTTCATTAAATAGAAATGTCTATGCCCCTTCAAAGCATACTCTCTTTGACGCGCCTCATATGCATGCATGTCAAGGACCTGTTTGAAGCATAAAGCATACTCTCTTTGACGCGCCTCATATGTTGAACTTTCGATTCAAATTTAACAGTGTCAATTTTATGCTAAACATAAGAGTTGAGTCTTATAATTTTAGAATTAATCATATGTGTATAGTAGAAACAGAAAGTAATAATAGGAACATGTTTGGATTCAAACATAGCAGAAAACTCAACATGGTTTGTAAACCATTTAAATTACTAGCATAATATTAGTAAAAACTGAGAGCATCATATTAGTAAGAGAGAATCAGATACATTCACAAAAAATCAGTAAGCAAGACTCATACCCTAAACCATACACACCACAGCATAGCAGTGCAAAGACAATCATCAGAAATCACAACATCACACACAGTTGAGAAGAGGCAGAGAAACACGCACATATTGACGTAAAAAGGGTGAACACGCGACGCAGAGACCAAAAGAAAGAAAGAGATTACGAAGGTCATACCGGTTGAAATTCTGTTTGTTGCAAAGCTTGTTCCGTCGTAAACCACTCACAGTGGCATCCTGCAATACATACGCACAAAATATACAACACCATTAGCACCGCAGCAAGAGGACGAGACGTAAACTCAGGAGTATAACAGTATCACAACAGCACACAAACATGCAAGGCATACGGGAAACACAGAAAAATCATACCTTCAGGTGACTCATTAGTTCAGTCTTGTTTCCTTGTTTTAAATTGAATAATTGCAGCAAATCCTACAAGTTGGAGAATTGTTTCTACCTACAAATAGAGCAACGACGCAGAAAATATGTGAGTAAAGTCATACGATAGCGTATTAATGCATATTACCAGAGAAAAGAGAAACGACACTTAAGATGTTGAAGTTATGTACTTCTTGCAGATACATATTTTTCTTTTAACTAATTTGAATCTTTATTAGAAGCTGTTAAACAGATTTGGTGGCAGACAACCTTAACCTCCCCTTTCCAACTAATACCCTATAAGCAAACAATACACAACTATGGTACAAACCTCAATTTTCAACTCAAAAAATGAATGTTGGTAACAAACCTCAACACATTGCAAATCTTTTCTTGTCAAGAACATTCTACTTCCCCCGAATGCCAAATTGGTAATCTTAGCACCTCCAATATCTTGTCCTCTCCCCATCAAATTCTTCTTGAAAATCCTATCATTAGAAGAACCCATTATAATCTCCGACCACAACTCTACGTCGCCGCCTTTACTGCAAAACAGTGGTTCCATTGAAGAACTCAAATGGTGGAATAACTTATTATTAGGCTTTTGGCCAAACTTAATAAAACAAAAAGTTCAGCCAAATAATTGACACTATATACCTTGTCAAGTAGGGTAATAATTATCAATACATCCTAAGACATAAGACACTTTGAAATTCAATTTGAAATCAGAGCCTAAGACAAACTTTAATACACATACATTTATTTACATTGCCCTTGCTCTAAGACTTCTTTCATGATATGTTGATCTTATGTTCAAAGTCTTTAATCATTTGTAAACAATTGGCAGAAATAAGTCAACTAACATGCATAAATTCTTCATTATAGAGAGAGTGAGAACTGCAATTCAATCATATTCACCAAACTAAAAAATAAAAAAGAGAACTAGAACAAGAAAAAAAATCATGGTTGAACATTAGAAAAGTTTCAAAAAATAGAACAAGAAACATACCCATTCACACTTTTGGAACACTCACTGTGTCAGAAATCTAACCCCCATAACTGGATATTATACCCATGAGCATCAGCTCTAAATATAAGTGAAGAACAATGGAAATCTGTAATTTAAACAGTATACCCATTCACATTCACAATTTTGAAACACTCACTATGTGAGAAATCTACTTTGTTTCTCTACTATACAGTTTCTTTTCACCCACCATCTGCAATTTAAACATTATACCTAGATCAAAATAAAAGAAAAAAGAATTAGAATAATAAAAGCTTGATTCGTAACAAAAAATTCAAACTGAAAACGAAAACACGACAAACTGAAAACAAAAATGGTACTTATTGAATTTGAACAAGTGTCCAAACACCTCTAATATTATGAGACAGTCAAATGATTATGAAACATGACTAAGAGTTAACTCACCTGGTCAAGAGACGGAGAATAGATGTATTGATAGATCTCGGGCAGAGCTTCAAATGCACTGTTCTCTTTATGCTCATTATCTGGATCAGACAGAGCAGCATCCAATAAAGAATCAAGGAAATTAACAAGCTCGGAGATGGTGTTTTGATACTCACTGGAATCTCCAACTACCAAGCATATAAAAAACCATCACTGTCAACAGCAAGTTAATAACCTTTCAATTACCTAACAAGACAATCAATCATCCAGTTTTATCCTTTCAACTTTTTTTCTTGCTACATAGCACAATAATGTCCTATATGAATTAACTTATTTGAGCTTATCTAGCAATAGAAGCACTTATAAAACCAAAAAAAGAGTCAAGATTAGTAACTCGAGAAAAATAGGTTACATAACTACATGTTTTGAATCAACTAAAAACACAATAACCTTTTCCCGGCGATAGGTTATGAAGCAAGCTTAGCAGCTTTTCCTGGTTCTTCCCGAGAATATTTCTCACGTCTCGGGGCTTATTAGGATTAGCGACCAAAATCTGGATAAACATGTAATAAAAATAATTAAAACAAAGATCCAAATGTACGTGTTAATTGATTAACTTGAAAACATGAAGCGGGAAAATCACCTTGAAAATGTGAAAAGCCGATAACTGGAAGTTTTTACTTGAATTCTGCTCAACCATGTAAGTATATTCATTAATCGCATGGAAAAACAAGAATATCGCACAATGACACAGGATTAAGAGGAGTTATACCGTCAACAATGTCATCATGACTTTCAAATAGCAAACTTCTAAGATGTAACGCTTCATTATCTGAGCATTGGGCGATTCCAAAAGAAAATCCGAGAGAAGCTAAAATCCAAGTAAATTTAATTGTTAAAATCAAAGATATGATCAGAAAGCAAAGATATGATCCGAGAGAAGCTAAAATCAAAGATAAATTTAATTGTTGATCCAGTATATGAACTTGACTACTAAACTTTAGATCTCTTTGTCTAGCATGAATCTTTTGAATAGTAATGTTACTAAATCTTCCTTCCTATAGCAAAGATATATGTGAATTAAGAACACGAACTAATGGATTATGGCGCTAAGCTAAAAGCTAATTCTAGATACCACACTAGAATCCTATGAAATTTCAAAATAAAAATCATGAAGATGGTAGAACTTGAACACATTAAGTAAAATACTTTTTATTTTTGCAATTGTTTAGAAGATATGTCCAATATTTGATCATTCAATGCATATAACTCTATAAAGTCATAATAGAAGCCAATGGTTTTCCAAAAGCTTATTATCTTGTTAAAAAAGAAAAATAATAAAAATGGTAGGTATAACATACCAGGTAAGAGATGGATAAGAACACTGACGATTTTGTCAACAGAACTGAACACCAAACTGCAATGCCAAAAAATCAAAGCCCATGCTAAAGGCCCCTGCAACAGAAGCACTTAAATAAGACGCAAAACCGACCGATGAACCGCTCGTCTTCTAAGATGTCAAATTACCGTAAAACACTCACCTCAGGCAAACCAGAAAATGCTTTTCATTCTTTTGATAAAACAGAAGGTAAATCAAGAAAATTGTATTCGCATAGTAGCAAAAATCCTGAAACACATGAACAATACTTTAGAAACCTTATTCTTATTAGTTATTTTTCTACAGAAGAAACTGAAATAAACTATTAACTTTATCCTTATGATAATGATAATGACAACTACAAGACATCACTCCAATGATTTTGATCAGCAATGGATTGAAACACAGTTTAAAATTAAATAAACAAGCCTTCTTCCAATATGAGGGTTGTTTTCTTTAGCAATAACAAACTTTGTAATTGAGTTTCACTATGCTTAGGATGAAAACTATACATAAGAAGCTTTTCAATTGTTTTCATATATAAACCTTTAGAATGTCAGAGTAAGTACAAGATTGGCTTGTTTAGCATAAAAAATTTGCAAGTAAAATATGACAAACTAAAGTGAAAAATAACTTAGGAGCTATGCAAACACACATCAAAGTGAACCAAATTAAATTTCAAAGCTAATTTCAACACAATATAACAGTCTTTAATTTATTAATATGTTTCCTCTTACCTGGACCAACTTCTACATCTATAGCATGATTATGTTCAAATAAGATAAGTATGCCAAGGAAGACGCGAACCTCATCATATTGAGCCGTCAAAAATTTGGCGACCACATTTCCATGTTTACTGAGAAGGTCCTGCAAAGCAAGCAAATTCAAAAGTATGTATGAAATGGCTATAGGAAGGCAGCAAGGTAAGTCATTATTAGACTTAGAGAGGTGAGAAAGAATTCAAATCTGACCTTAAATGTAGAAAATGCATCAAAGTTAGGCAACTCTACAAATCTGACCTTATCAGAAGGCTACTTAAAACCAAGTAACAAACACATCAAAACTACAAGAGAGAGCACCGATTGTGCTCTAAACTGAATACTACAAAAACATCTACAATGCATTAAAACACAAATATAATGATAAATCTTTCCAAAAATTGGCACAACTCTAAAGTGTGTGTGTGTGTTGTGTTGCACTGATGTTATCAGTCACACCAATACTCTTCAGTTAAGATAGTTAGCCTAAATTCAACTTTCGTTGCCTCATCCTATGGTCCAAGAGTTTATCTTTCAGTTTTAGAAGGGGGGATTAACTGCTCTATTATAGACTTTTTGTTCACTAAATATTTAGGATTACACATGCATTTATTATTATTGTTCCTCCAGTTTCAGGCACAGGAACTTGTTCCTCCAGTTTCGGGCACAGGAACTTTATTATTATTCACAATTTTGCTAGATGTTCCACCTTTTCCCCTGACGGGATCTCACTTGTAATGAGTCCAACCTGGTACTAATGGTGAAGACATCTACTGTTCCTCCAGTTTCGGGCACAGGAACTTGTTCCTCCAGTTTCGGGCACAGGAACTTTTTATTATACACAATTTTGCTAGATGTTCCACCTTTTCCCCTGACGGGATCTCACTTGTAATGAGTCCAACCTGGTACTAATGGTGAAGACATCTACTGTTCCTCCAGTTTCGGGCACAGGAACTTGTTCCTCCAGTTTCGGGCACAGGAACTTTTTATTATACACAATTTTGCTAGATGTTCCACCTTTTCCCCTGACGGGATCTCACTTGTAATGAGTCCAACCTGGTACTAATGGTGAAGACATCTACTGTTCCTCCAGTTTCGGGCACAGGAACTTGTTCCTCCAGTTTCGGGCACAGGAACTTTTTATTATACACAATTTTGCTAGATGTTCCACCTTTTCCCCTGACGGGATCTCACTTGTAATGAGTCCAACCTGGTACTAATGATGAAGACATCTACTGTTCCTCCAGTTTCGGGCACAGGAACTTGTTCCTCCAGTTTCGGGCACAGGAACTTGTTCCTCCAGTTTCGGGCACAGGAACTTATTTACACACTTTAGTGTGTTTATTAGCATATGCAGTGTATCCTATGTGCTAAGTCTTTAAAGAGCAGTGTGAGCCTCCCCTAACTAAATCCTACAAAAATCTCTTATTCCATATTTTAAGGCAATTCAAATTTTTCAAAAGGCTATCTATTTTTCTGACTAAAATAAGATGCATTGTTCAACTATCCTTCGTCCAGTTTATCATGCAATCAGTATGACACTTAGCTATGCATCAAATCTTATAAAAATGAATATAGTCTAATAACATTGCATGAACTCTTGCAACCTTGTTAAGATTGAAGAAATATATAAAATGAACTTTGAAAGCCTGTAATACATTTTCTTATGACACTTAGTATAAATCATCCAATCTGAAAGCTTATGATACATTTCCTATTGACACTTAGCACAATGGTGATCACGAATGTCAAAATTTGACCAAAAATCAATTCACTAAAACTCAACACAATTCACTAAAACTCAACACAATCAAATCACTTCATTATTTACCTACTAATTTGATGCTACAGGTACAAATAGCTGGAAATTGCATTATTTACCAACAAATCAACTTAAAACCCTTACTTTTCAATCTCTTGGAGGCGCACAATTGTACCGCAAATCTCATTGGAGGCGCACAATTGTACCGCAAATCTCATTGAGTTATTCTGCAAGTATTTCCACATCTCTGCACCCCTAAACATAGCAAACCAAAAAAATTATATAAGATTTAAAATCATGATTCTTGGTATATGCAAAGAATTACAGTCAAATTTACTCTCAATCACATCTAGAATTATGTGACACTTAAACAGAGCCTCACTCCCATTCAAGTGGGGCAGTCTATCGCATATATAGTTAAGAACATGCAACAATAGAGAGAACGTCACAAATATCAATTACATCAGATATTATCACTTACTTCCTGAAGCATCTTTATATGATCCCAGAAGAGTTTTTCCATGTCAGTTGAATCAAGAACAGAATTGGTTGCCCGTCCCTGCGGATCTTTTTCTAACTTCGGCTTTGATTCTGTCCATGATGCCTAAGAACATACACAAAAAATATATGAAATTTATTATAAACAGCAAATTTCCTAGCATAATTTAGCCTTCAAAAGTCTGAGGAACTCATTTGCATTCATCTATTTTTCTTTATGTTGAACCAAACCCTCCTAATAATTAACTGAATGCAGTTTAGTCCAATTCAAAATGGGAGGAAACATTAAAATGGAATCATGCGTATCATGCGTATAAATCTGGGAAAATATCAATAATTAAGAAACCAAAATGACTTGTTTAAAACTCTAGCACCTAAAAGATATTCTAATCCTTTCAGATTTTGAAAAGGAAACTAATCTTCAAAATAACAACAGTAGCAAGAAGAATAAAAGCTTTATACCATCGGGTCTTTGATTCTCTCCACGAGTAAAGCTTGAAAAGAAGTAACTGCCTCCTTCCTTCTAATCTTTATTCGTACTTTTTCCATTTCATGTTCTTCTCTTTCCTTCCTTTTACGCAACTCCCGCTCCCTTTCCGCAACTTCTCCTGCAAATCAATTGAGTTTTAATTTGGTCAAAATCAATGTTATAATAAGTTACTAAGAATGAGCTGCTAGAAGAACATTTGTATACAAATATAAACCGACTTAAACAACTCAATCCATAATAAAACAGAAAAAGGCATCAATAGAGCCTGTCATAGAAGTCACTCTAACAAACTAAGCTTCAATATAGCAAAAATCCTAGATTTGAAGTAGTTTAACAGTATTTACCCGCGTTTATTAAAAAATAAAATAAAATAAAATAAAAAACAGTATTTACACACTACGAACTAACTGGAGCATCATGTCAAGGCATCAATTATAAGAAAGGGGACCGACAGTTATTCTTTCTTCACAATTTTACCAACTTTCTAATGATTTCAAAGGCATTCATTACATATTATGTATTAACCACCTAGTACCTGCTCGTCCCTTTTAGCTCTGGTCTCTCTTTCTGCTGCGTGTTCAGCAGCTTTCAACTCGGATATATACTCATTGAACAAAAATTCCCTATCCTCGTGTTTCATAGATTTATATCTGAAATCGTCTCTTAAACTCTCTTTAACCTGCATCAACCAAACAGTAAATTAAACACCCCACAGAAAAGAATATATAAGAAAAGTAGAGATTTGCATATAACAAGAATCTCTTGGAGGCGCACAATTGTACCGCAGATCTCATTGAGTTCACTTAAATTCATTTCTTTCTCAGAAATTTTATACTTCTCCTTCCTCCACTAGAGCTAGTGTTCCTTCTTCATTCTTAAACCTCTAAAATCATCAACTCTTAAAACAGAAGAGTTATTCTGCAAATCTTTCCACATCTCTGCACCCCTAAACATAGCAAACCAAAAAAATTATATAAGATTTAAAATCATGATTCTTGGTATATGCAAAGAATTACAGTCAAATTTACTCTCAATCACATCTAGAATTATGTGATACAACAACAACGATGCCGACGATGACGATTGTGTGATAGAATTCGAAAGTGAAAACAATGACTTAACATTGCTCAACAATTCAAAGCTTTGAGGCAAGATTCTAACGGAACCCAACTCAAGAACGCCAAAATCAGTAGGTAGTAAAACAACAGTTTGAATTCCAACAGATTTAGCCAAGAAAGAACGAACACAGTAATCAGAAACAGATTTCAACCACAAATTTTGACCAGAATCAAAACACTTACCGGGTCCCAATTGAAAGTGGAAGAGTTTTCGACAAGATCAGAGAGTTTGTTTTGAAGAGAATCAGAAATAACAGTAGCACCAACAGCGATTAAGATAGTTTCATCGGATAAATAATTTGTTATCAAGAAATTGAAAGATCGAGCGCCAAGAACGAAGCATGGATTTATCTTGTTCGTATAAGATGGGGTTTGTTGAAGCCATCTCAAAAAGGAAAAGAGAGGGAAATGGTGGTGGTGAGTGATGAAAAAGAAGAGGGTTTTTGGAAAATGAAAGAAAGAATGGGGTTATGTTATTGTTGGTGGTGGTGTGGTGCGTGTGTGAAAATTGAAGGAGAGAGGAGTGTGTGATAATAATAATAATAATATTAATAATTATAATAATAATAATAATAATAAATAATAATAATAATAATAAAAAATAATAATAATAATAATAATAATAATAATAATAATAATAATAATAATAATAAAAATAATAATAATAATAATAATAATAATAATAATAATAATAATAATAATAATAATAATAATAATAATAATCATAATAATAATAATAATAATAATAATAATAATAATAATAATAATAATAATAATCATAATAATAATAATAATAATAATCATAATAATAATAATCATAATAATCATAATAATAATAATAATCATAATCATAATAATAATAATAATAATAATAATCATAATAATCATAATTATAATAATAATAATAATAATAATAATAATAATAATAATAATAATAATAATAATAATAATAATAATAATAATAATAATAATAATAATAATAATAATAATAATAATGATAATCCTAATGTTGTTGCATAGTAGTTATTATCTTTTAAATTAAATTAATTATTAACTAAATATAATTAAAAATAGATGAAAAAATAAAAAGTGAAAAATGCACAAAAAGAAGTTCACGTGGGATTTGAATTCATATCCTCAATTAGGCACCCCGCATCAGGCACTTGTCCACTAGACCATTGCAATCATTCAAATTTAATGGCACTTAAAGATACATAAAATATAAATAAGGTATGACAAAATGATATAAATAAAATTTGTTTAAATGATGTGAAAGTTTATGCACATAGTTTTATTTTATGAACACTTAGAAAATTGTTTAAATTGATGTGAAAAATTAATAATAGAAAAGTTAATTTAAAAACTAATGTATTTGGTCTTAAATGCATTTTTGATCTCACTGTATACATATTTTTAACCTTTTAGTCTCCCTTTAAAAAAAATCAGTTATTTAGTCCTTCAATTTAATTTTCTTGAAATTTTTTTGGTCTCCCTCTACTTTTGCAAATGTGGAGGTGATGACTGGGATAAAAATTTTACTTTTTATGATGTGACAATGATGACTAGATTATTTATTTATAAAGATAATATATTAATAACTTTAATTTAATTTTTGTTAGATTTTAATTAATTAAAATTTTTAAAACAAATATAATGGGCCTTAAATCCACTTCCACTTAACATTGGTCCAGTACACAAGATGACAATTCATATGTGACTAAGCTTTATAAACACTCATTTTATTTCAAATAAAACAACGTGGGACTTTATTGACAATCAAAACAATGCAACTTTTGAGGTTTCAAACAGCAAACTCAAGCTCAGTTTATGTGATTTGTGTTCATTAAGAAACACTTGTGCACTGTCATGGCCAAGTTCAATGTGAGAAGTAGTAACAAAAAGAAGAGTAAAGGTAGCATTGTGAAGCTCATTGAGAAGCTGCAAAAGAGGCTATTACTAGTGAGAAACATATCATCATCAACCTATGTGTCAAAGGATGTAAAAGAAGGACATTTTGTTGTACTAACATAAGGTATAAAAGAAGAAGAATCAAAGAGATTTGGGCCTCAATTGAGTTGTTTAACAAATCTAATATTTGTGAGGCTATTGGAGCAAATAGGAGAAGAGTATGGTTTTGTTTCATGTTTCTTTGAATGTAGATAGATACTAAGATGGACTTTATTATTAGATGATACTTGAAGTTATAATCCAGATATCTGGAATTTAGCCTTGCTAATACTTAAAGTTATAATCCAATACTCATCTTCTATATGATCATCATCTCTTTATTATCCATGGCAGTTCCACCTTCATTAAGCTCATCATCATCGTAATTAGAAACCTCTATCACATGCTAGTGCATCATTTTCAACTTGAAGCAATTTGCCTTCGATTGGAGTATCCAAATCCAAATATGTATTTTGATCTTTCTTTACAAAGTCTCAAATCGATCATCATCTAAAGAAATACATTTTACATTATACTCACTTGTTTTCCTAACTTGCTACATATGATTAATAAAGGCAAAATACCCTTTTTCGTCCCTTAACTTTAACTCGGGGTCCAGTTTGGTCCCTTAACTTTAAAAACTGGCAAGTTGGTCCTCTAACTTTTAAAATGATGTCAATCGAGTCCTCACCGTTAGTTGTCCCCAAATGTCAGTTCATTTTGTGTACGTGGCAGATGACTTGGCAAGTTATCTTCATCATGTTGTTTCCTTCTCCTTCCTCCTTCACATACCTATATTATTTGAGGATTTGTTTTTCGTTCTCCTTCCTCCTTCTCGGTCCCAAATCCCAAAATTAACCTAGGGTTTTTGTTTTTGACAAGTATGAAATCTGGTTGTTCGTCCTCCATGTTGAAACAGGAAAGTGGAAATTCAGATGTTTGTAGTACGTCAAGATGGAAGCCCATATGCCATTGTGGAGACATGGCTATTCTTCAAAGGGCAACTACTGTTAAAAATATGGGAAAAATTTTATGGGGTTGTCCAAATTATAAGGTATGCAAGCTTTTTGAATTCTGTTAATAAATTTTGTTTCTATTAATAAATTGTGTTTCTGTTTAAGTTTAAATTTGTTCTCCATCATCCTTTAAACAATGAAAATTTCAGGGAGGTATGCAAGTTGGGTGTGGTTTCTTTGGTTGATTTTATGATGAGGTGGGTGATGAGAAGGAGTAATTTTGGATGCATAGGATGAGTGTGGTAGTTAAGGAACTTGCTGAAGCAAAAAAAGACATTGAAAAAGAGATAATGGAAAATGAAGTATTAGGGAAAAAGTTGATGAAACTTGAAAGTGAAATGAAGAATATCATGAAGTGGAAAAATATTTTAACTTTGATATTTGTGATTATTATCATTGTATTAGTTGTTAGAATTAGTTATGGTATTAAGGTTTGTTTGGAAGTAGTATGTTATGGTTTGTTTGCAAGAATTAACTTATATTTTGGTTGTAAGAATTAGGTTTAACTTCAGTTAAAGTTTGTATCAGTTTTGGATTGTATCAGTTCAACATGAATGTAATAGTTAGATTATGTTAATTTTACTTTTTGCAAATATTATTTTTGCATGTATCACACAATGATTTTGTTAAAGATTATGTTTTATTTACATGAACGCAATATTTGGTCTGTTAAAGATTAGCTTGATTTTAACACACAATGGCCTATAAGTGTTTTATATAACACAAAATGACCTATAAGTTCTATTTGATATGTTCTGTTTTTATGTTAACTTAGTCTGTTATAGACCTGTCAAAGTGTTTTTAACTTGGTCTGTATTTTTAAAACATAAAGTACATAATAGCTCCATAAACATTATGACCTATAAGTTCTTCATTTTTAACATAACAATATGACGGGTCAATAAACATTATGACCTATAAGTTCTGCATTTTTAACACAACATTATGACAGGTTCTGCTTTTAACATAAAGTACATAACAGGTCCACAAACATTACGACCTATTAGTTCTGCATTTTTAACATAACATTATGACATGTTCCATTTCATAATAAGTCCATAAATTGATACACATGTTCCACAAAATACATAAAGTCATTCCACACATGTTCCAAACAATAGTAAAATACATAAACTTATAATACATGTGTTCCAAGCAGCAGCAAAAAACATAATCTAATTATACAACAAAATACATAAAGTGATTCCACATGACATGATAGTCTAATTATATTTAGAGGTTCTTCTTTGGCGTGGTCCTCTTTGTTGAAGTAAACCTCCTTGTTACTGGGCCAACAACATTCTTGGCAACACTCAACCTAGTTGTAAGTCCAGGTGATACAAAAGGACTTATTGGCTTCCTAACACGCAACTTTTGTGTCTTGCCCTTAGCAGGTCCATGTGTTTTCTATGCAGCATTTTCCTTAGAAGTTTGAGATGCTTGGCTTGACTGTTGAGTAGAAGTTCCCTTAGCAATATGTGTTGTTGTTGAAAATTCTGGCAAGCACACGATGGATGTTATGCCCAAGGTTATAACATCCACTGTGACATCTGCTACTTAACAACTAATACTCAGTAATAATAAAAGCAGTAAATAACACAACAATTGTTTACCCAGTTCAGTGTCAATAACACTTACATCTGGGGGGTACCAAGCCAGGGAGGAAATTCACTATTAGTAGAATCAATCCAAAGTTAAACCTCCAGTTTACAC